GTTTGGGTGACTTATAAGCAACAGAGATTTATTTCTCACAATTCTGAAGGCTGGAAACATGGTGCCAGCAAGCCAGGTTCTAGTGAGAGCCCTCTTCAGTCTTCTCACATGGCAAGAAGACAGTCACAAAGTTCTTTGTGGTCTCTCTTATAAGTACCAGTTTCATCCATGAAGGTGGAGTCCTCATGACCTAATCACCTGTGAAAGGCCTCAAACTCCTAAAACCACATCAAGAACCTAGAATTTCAACATGTGAAATTTGGGGGGACATAGCATTCAATCACTAACTCCAAGGCTGGACCTACAGCAGGTCCTCTCCAGGTACTTATTGACTGAACCCATCCAATAGTGGGCCCCCTCTTTCCCAGCCAGGCTGTGGGATACCAAGAGAAGAGTAAGGATTAAGAATGCATTTCCTCCTCAAACTCCACAGTATAAACACTACACCAAACATCCCTGTGGTAGACAGAATGCTGAAACGACCTCCATGACCTTTGCCTTGGTGCTCTCATGATTATGTCATGTTGCATGTCAAGAGGGATTTGTAGATACAGTTAAGGTTACTAATAAAGTCACCTTAGATATGGAGATTATCTGGACCTCATTACACCACCATTTATATAGCAAAGATTTTCTCTTGTAGCAGAAGGGAGCAAGAGATCAGAAATGCAGGGATGACTTGACATGAGAAAGAACTCCCTCTGCTCACTTGAAGAAGGGGGTCATGTGGAAAAAGCCTAAGAGCCTCCTCTGAGAACTGAGGTTGAACCCCAGCCAATACCCAGCAAGAAAGGAGACTTCTGTCCCACAGCTGTAAGAAACCACACTCTGCTCCCAAAGAAGCTGAGAAGTAGGCTCTCCCCCGGGTCTCCAGAAGGAAATGCATCTGGGATGACACCTTGATTTCAGCCTGGTTAGACTCTAATCAGAGAACCAAGGCAGGCCTGCTCAGATTTTCCAGAATACAAATAATAAACAGTTATCATTTTAAGCCCCAGAGTTAGTGGTAGTTTATCACATAGCAATCCCTAACCATACCCTACCCACTAAACTAGCTGACCAAGAGAAGTCCCTCTTGTGAATTAATACATATACCTTAATATATGCTTTCCTTGATTGCATAAAATACATGTAATATAAATGACAGACTTCTGAAAGTTAAAAGTACATGCCCCTCAAAGTGTCATAATGGCCTCCATATTAAATGCTATTAATAACAGTCATTTATGAATAGTTAGAAATTGAATCACGTAACAGGTTATGTGTCTCATATGCTATTTATTGAGCACCACTGCTTGCCAGGTCTGTCACTGCAACGGAAGTTGGGATTCTTGGGTGAAACTCCATGAGCCTGCTGTCTGAAGAGGACACAACCAGCACATAATCAAGATTCCGCCCCTCCTCATGATGATGAGGGCACGTGAGTGCTCATGCCAGTTTGTCAGGAAGCTGGAAACCCCACTGCTTCTTAATGTTCCCTTATCTGGGGATGAGGAAATGGTAGGTGGTCACGGGGGCTGGTAGTAAAACATTCTCTACATTCACTCTCTGGGTTCTCCCTAAATCCACACACCAAGTAGGGGGCCCTAAAAGACCATAAGAAAAGAGCTTCAACTGCCTGAGACTAAGAGCCATGATGGTCCAGCCCTACCAGTCTCTCACCCTATCCAGAGGTGTCACCAGCACACACAGGAGTCCCAGCAGCCATTCCCCATCCAGCTGCCAGGCCACCGCCCCTCAGCCACGAGCTCCTGTTTGTCTGCGTCAGCGTTTGTCTCAACATCGCACCTCCATCATCTGCAGGGGAAATTGATGTCGACGGCATGGGAAAGGAATGTAACTACAGCCTATCCTAAAAGCATGCATTTATTTTATTTTATTTCAGAAATGTATGCATTATGTATAGCTGTACATAAACGTTTTTATAGAGCCTCTTAAATGATTTACCATGAGGTATGTGTTGATTATAATCTCTGCTTATTTAAGAGAGCCTTGTTTACCCCCATAGTATTTAATACATTGAGACATGTTTCAACTAACAGTGACACCAGTAAACAAAAGTTACTGATCTACCTCGTGAGTTATAAAACTTGTAACATGCTGTAAACAGCTCTGTCATTTTATTTAGCATATTGCATTGTGTGAGCTGCCTTATTTATCTAGTGGTAAATCTTTATGTATCAAAAATGCTACAGAAGGCACAACAGATAAATTACAGACAGACACTAACATCTGACTAGTTAATCAAACAAATAGGACATGTAACAAAGAGAAAAGCTATAAATATTGACAACAAGCTGCTTCAGTCACAAAAACATTCAATACTTCAGTTCTCAAGTGTGAGTTTTATATCAGTCCCCTGGAAACAGTTTGTATCCTCCAATAAATTTTTACAGTTGATTCACCTGCCTGATACCCCTCAGCCATTTCCTTCAGAAGCTGTCAAACCCGCCAACGATAATATATGGCCCGACCAACAAGAACAGCTGTAGCCATTCTCTCCGCAGGTTCTTGCACCCTGTTCTGCATAAAATAATACATCAAGATTAATTGATTTCCCGTCAGTCTCACAGAACAGAAAATTAATTTTCATGTAGCTATTTTCCCCAGCATATGAATTTTGTACATGGCAAGTAATTTAAGTTTTTAATTATTCATGAGTTAGGAGGGGGGTAGGAAGAAACATGATAAAGTAAGCTTGCGAAAACCCCAAGGCCAGTCTCTGGGCCTGGGTTTGTGCTGAGGCAACAATGCCATTCGCTAATGCCCATATAAATAATATATGTATTAACATACATCTTAGTACAACACCAATTTCTCTCACTCTGACCCGAGACTACCAGGTCACCCTGCAGTACTTTGTCAAAGTCGCCGCACTGGTTACATGTGACGTGCTGTGGGAAAACACAGAACATGTCAGCCATATTGAAGTGACCTCCGCCTGCCTCTCGGCGCAGCCACACAGCCCAGGTATGATAGGAGGTAATTTAATGGTCAGTGTGTGAGTGGGCCCAAGCCAAAGCTGCTAATCAGGCAGGTGCTACCTCAGCAAGTCTTCCATTTGCAGGTGCCACTGACTTGTGAACAAGAAAAATGTAACCAGAAAATAGAAAGGAAGCATTCGACTCACTCAGGCCTCATCTTTCACAGACTCTCAGCAGACCAGTGCGAGAAAAACTGTCTCCTCAGAAAGGGAAAAACCACAACGTGAGCACCTCCGGCAATCAAGTATATTTGCTAAAACGCGGACTAAAATGCTCCCACAGTACCTCCTTGGAAATTTCATTGGCATACTTCACGTAAACTGCAAGACAGGCAAATGTGCCGTGCTTGCTTCCAGCCAGAGAGTTTGATTTAACCCCATTAGGACCAAACCCATCGTATTTCACACAGCACTCTCGAACACAAAGGCATCGGCCTCTGGAGTCGAGGATTCTGATTCCTTATTGATGATGTCTTCTGCCCTGAATATTAAGATTTAGCATGACATTAGGAAACCTTTATAAACAATTGATCTTTTCCCAGTTAAACAATCAGCCCACATCAAAATCTGAGGGAGGAGACAATCTGATCAAATACCCAAACTCATCTAGGTCAGGGGAGTCTGAAAGTGAGACAAGGAAGAAGAGGCCTCTTCCAGACTAATCAGTGGCAGAAGGAAAACCTGGACCAAGAATTCCTAAGAGGAGAAACTGTTTTGGACAACTTGGAGCAGGAGCTCTGATTTGGGGTATGCTGCCTGCAAAGACCCCATCAGCTCTGACTTGGGGTATGCTGCCTGCAAAGGCACCATCATGCTGGTAAGGAGGACCCACTGAAGAGGTCAGAAACAAAAATGATCAGAGTTCAAAATTAGGTTAAGAAAATTTAATTGAAGGTGAGGCATGTAATTAGGCAAAAGGATTGTGTCTGGTGAATCTGATACAATGTTAATAACACAGAAGTGAGAGTTTCTACAAATGCCATTTCTCATAAAAATGGCCACTCTAACCAAAACCAGAAAGAAACCAGGACATTGCTTCTTCCACGGAGGGTACTCATACCTCATACTGAAAGCCTGAACAAAACTGTGCTTTCAGTGTTTCCATCGTAAAACCTGTCTCCCAGTAACTGGCAGAACCTGTAAAAACTCACTTCACTCAGAAATTTGGCACTGGTACAGCAGCACAAAGCGTAGGTTCTTTAAACACAGTTTCAGAATAGAGATTCGGGATTGTATTTCTATTACTGTGATGGCTTCAGACAAAGGGGCAACATGATACTTCATGTTAAGCAGCTAATTATGAGCCCTGAAGAACAGCTAGTCAACTGAGGCTAGGTGAAAATTAAAAGGGGGGAGGCATTCTCAATTGTTTCATGTGGTGTATTTGTGAAGGGAGGGTGGATGAGGTTTGCTTTAGTCTTTGTACCTCTGCATTTCAAAACAAAACAAAAGAAAACAAGATGAGGAAATTAAATATAGCATTGATATCCCAACAACAAAGCCCTTGCTCAATTACTGCCAGGCGATCCCAGATCATAGTGGTGTAATGTGACCCAGTGCCAAGAAACATGTCTGGGCCCTCCTGAACTCCTTGAGCTACCCACAGCCACATTCCTGGGAAGGCCGAACACTCCTCCCTGGTAGTGACGAGGTGAGACCGCAAGGCCAGCGGAATGCCAGGCAAATTCTCAGCTAATTATTTCTCACTGCTGAACACTCCTGACACACTCCTTACTTTGCCGAGTTTTGCCACACTGATCGACTTGAAAGGTTTGACAAAGCAAAGCACCAAAGAAGAGCTGATCCTCTTAGGACTTTGTGGCTTTGGGTTGCTTCTGACTAGGGACAGAGCTTTAGGAAAGCAACTTAGAGAATTAGAGTTGATCCAATGAGTCAACTCCAGAAATCAAATGGTATTTGAACAGCTCACACGCACATGTGAGTGGGTGTTTGTGTATGTGTGTGTGAACGAACAGAGAATGGGAGACGACACAGGGCTGGAGGAAAAAGTAAGTACTCACCATGGCCCCAACGGCCATATCAGCCTAGTTGCCTCTCCGGTCCTGCTTTCCCACTCTACTAAAAGTACAGCAGTTGGCATCTGCATGGAAATAAAGGTGCATTTTGGTTTAAACCTGTGTTTATAGTTTTTCTTCATCTGATGGAGAGAAGGAGGTTTGCTTTATCTCATTCTTGAAAATAATCCTATCAAGAACATAAATGAACTCATTACACACACCGTAAAAAAATTATATATCTATATGTGTGTGTGTTGGCAATTCTGTAACTAAAACGTAAAAAACTTCTTGAAGTCAATGCTGCTGCTGGCATAGCTTAAAGGTCTTTGTTTCTGTAAATTCAATTGAGTGTTTCTATTTCTAAATCTGGCAAGAGGTTCTAATTATTGTTAGAAGCCTAATTAGCATTTAGTATTACATTACAACAACTGCAGCAAAATTGTACCCATTCTCCAATAAACAGTATTCACAGTATGCAATCAAGCCGCTGTACCGAGCAATGAGAATTAATAGCACCGCACGACAATGGTAAATCCTCCATCTCCCGCTGTGTGTGTTTAATAATTTTTCACTCCTTCCAGATTGTTCCCATCAAGCACAATTCCCAAGGTCCTAATCAACCACCCTCCCCATCAATACTACACAGAGATCTGAGCACTGAAAATTATCTGCAATTTCAAAAAGTGCTTTGTTGCATTATTAGGCCACTGACCTAAGAGGTAATGGGTAAATAGTTTCTGAAAAATGTCCAAAGCACAACATAAATTAAAGCTTATAGTCTTGCCTGCTGTTCTCACCATAGCTATAACTGCAAACTATTACGGTTTTTACACAATATTCTTAACTATAATTTTACACCATAATACTGGTGCAAAGCGCCAAATGTTCTGCTTTCACGTGCCTTCATTTACTAAACAAGGAGAGTTTGGGGAGGAAGCTGATGTATTCAGTTCTTTAGAATTTCTCATAGCCCCACCCTCCTTCTACCTCTTGTTCCACGCCTATCCCCACCAAAAATAAAGTTTGTGATTCCTATGTTAAGTATTTTACGGTGGGCGGAGGTAAGAGATTTTTTATAAGTAATAGTGTGTGTTGGGCTCTCTGTCTCCCACACAGATCGTAGGTACATGAACTCCATATACGCCATTTCTGAGTCCCAGGTGGACTCGGGGATTACACAATGAGGAACTTTGTAGTGTTTCTGCTGTCTGCTGACTGGAGATGATTGTGACACTTTCACACAAACCTAAGGCTGGAGAAATATTGTGTTTCAGTGATCTAGAAGTGATACTTAGAGCTAACATGAAGGGCAGGTTCTGGCCAAGGAAAACAGAGTCCAAGAGCCTCAAATAACAGAACATAGGAGCAAGATGCTCCCCTGTGGCTCACCAGGAGGCAACACACGACTTCCACTGAGCACAGCAGTCCCCACTGAGAAAGTTCATCAGTATTAACTTAGGAGCTTGAGTTGGATGCTGTGTCCTTGGTACAGATTGTTTGCTTTACACAGGAGCCAAGGTAAAAAGCATTTCTGACAGCTCAACTCAGCCTAACTAAGCATACACGTGAGGGCTCTCCTAGAGCTCAATGCTGGAATTAGCCTGTGGTCCGCCATGGTTACCAAAGAAAATTCTTTTCACTGTAGCTATTATACATCTATATCCCTCAAAAAAAAAAAAATCCAGAACATTAATAGACTAACGCCATCTATTTCTCAGGATTGATGACGTACTGAGTAATATACCAAGTTTTTTTCCCAACATCATAATTCTCTATTGTACTTCTCAGTCATACAATCACTTATTAATCCATTACACAAATGCTGAGTGTCTACTACTGTTTCAGGCACTTGGGATACACTGGTAAACAAAGACGACAAAGACCTTCCCTCTTATGGAGCACAGATTCCAGCATGAGGTAGTCAGGAAATTGACAATCTTCCTAACAAGTAAGCAAATGTCATCTGCTGGAAGGTGACAGGTGTTGGAAAGAGAAAATGCAGAGCAGTATGAGAGGACCCAGAAGCACTACAAAGGGGCAGGTGGCAGTATTAAATCAAGTGGCCAGGGAGGACCTCTATGAGAAAATGACATTTAACAAAAGATTTTAAAAGAAAAAAAGAGAGATGAACAGATGGTGTAATGGTTATGTTGCTGAACTCCCACATGGCCAACCGTGGTTCGAGCTCTGGACCTGGCAGCTTCAAATCACACCGGGAACATGGGCATGCCCAAAATCCAAGAGAAGAATGGAGAGAAGGGATTACAGTGTGGCCATATCCCCCTTGAGGGGGGGTGATTTTTTGCTTTCTGTCTCTCTGGTGAGCATGCATACCCCATAGCAAAAAATCTATTAAAGAAAGAAAGAAAGCATGTCTTAATTTCTTGACTTTCTTCTAATCCCAGGAACCTCCCCTTCCAACTTTCTGACACCAAGGTCCACTGGACTTCTCATCATTCTGGCCTTATCAGTGGGTGGCCTTCCTTGCAGGATAGGAGGTACCACAAGAAGGGAATCCATGTATATCCTATCCACCTCAGTGTCCCCCATAACTAGCACTGTGCCTGACAAAAACCAAGTACTTGGTAAACATTCATTGAACTAATGAACCCATACGTGAATCAATGGTAGCTCATTTATTTTCAGAACTCCAAGTCATTAATTTCCTATATTGGTACAATTAAGACCTGAAGAGCAATGAATTCTTTAAGGACATGAAAGACCTTCTAATTTAAACAGTAAGAATGCTGAGACCTAGAGAAGTAACATTTCTAGGACTTGGATCCAATTCTCCAGAATACTCATCCAGAGACTTCCGCTCCTCCTTGGAGAACATGGTGGGGGCATGTCAGAAATTTTCAGCTCTGCTCCATCCCTCCAGTGGCCCTGGTTGTCCTCATTATCCCCATATATTTGATCTTATTCTTTCTTTCAACAGCCATTGGCTATTTTCTCCTTTGGACTCAGATCTGTTATTTTTCAAATTTTGTTCTTACTGCTCCAAGTCCATATCATCTTGGCAAACCAAACAAAACACATGAAACAAACAGGATGTTAGAAGATGATGGACTACCCCACACCTAGGCAGTCAGATGGCAACAGAAGGAGAATGAGCCATCCATCTTGAGTTTCTCAACTAACATGCAAATCTGGAAAGTATCTCCTATGTGACTCCTGGACAGCAGAAAGAGCTATGTGAGCCTCAAGAAAAGGCAAGAATCTTGAAGCAAAAGAGTTTGGGAAGTCATCTTCTTAAAGAAAAGTCCTCTCTATAATTCCAAGTAGACTAGTATCCATGAAAGCCTATTCCCATGCCTCTCTTAGGCCTCATAATCCATTTTCCACTTTAGAAAGACAAATTCCTTGGCATACAGAGAAAATCCTTATCTTTCCCACCTATCCTAACTCTATTTAAAGATACAGAACTTTAAGATGAATCTGTCTCATGAGAGAAAACTGCTTTATTCCACTCTTCTAACTCCTGAGGAAAGATTTTCCTTTCCTCCCCACTACTGGCATGGCAAAGAGAATCAAACTTGAAGGATATGTGTATGGGACAGGAAAAGCTTACCTAATGCTGACAGATAATGTGACAAATATGACATTGACAAATGTGAATCACACAAACCCCTGCCCAGTTCTCAAAAAGCAAAAAATTATACAATCTATATGGCCTTCCATGGACAGTAAGACATGGTAATCAATTCATAGTAATAGTAATAACAATAATGGGAAATTCCATTTACTCAGAGATTACCACTGTGCTAAGTACTTTCGATTAATGTTCTTTCAGGTCAAGAATTTGGTAGTGGCCTAAGCATGACTGTCATAACATGTGGGGCACAAGCAAATCATCATGACATAGGCACCTATTTATCATAATAACCTCTGAGAGACTCTTACTGTGAAATTTGAGACCATGGCATTATTATGAATATTGGACTAAGTCTAAGGTGATCTTTGTGCCTGGAATGCAGGAAGTATGTCCTTGAGGTGGGAGTCACATTGTCCTTGAGTTGGGAACCTGATCCAGAAACTTGTCAAACTGTACTTCTACCTTCTAAGATACAGTTGGGGTACCCAAAACTATCTTTGGTCCATCCTACAAAAGTAAACCAGGGTGTAAACACTCAGCCTGAGGGATGGCTACCTGTGATAAGGTAAGGATGGACATACACACTGTGGCACACAGACATGTGTGTAAAAGACTCCTCACAGTACAAGAAAGTGCCAGACTTATACAGAGAAGGGGCATGGCCACAGCCTAGGGCAAGCCCTCACTACACTCCAAGAAAGTGAGGAATTCTAAAAAAAATCTGGACTTCCAACTCATTAATGAAAGTATTTATCATGAGAAAAGATTGGAGCATATTTTATTTAGCATTCATTAGTTTAGTTTATAACTTTAAATATTAGATATATGGTATATAGGTTTCTTGTCAAGAATGTGCTCTTAGGGGGCCAGCAGTTAGCATAATGGCTATGTCGCTGGACTCCCACGTAGTCGACCATGGTTTGAGTCCCAGACCAGTGGCTTAAACTCATGCCAGGCGCGTGTGCGTGCGTGCCCAAGATCCTGAGAGGAGAATGGAGGAGAAGGGATTGTGGCGTGGCCATCCCCCTTGGGGGGTGATTTCTCACTTTCTGTCTCTCTGTCTCTCTCTGTCTGGCGAGCGCATGCGCTCTATAGCAAAAAACTCTCCAAGAAAAAAGAATGTGCTCTTAGGGCAAAATCTGATCCTTGTCTCCATGTTCTTCCGCATGGTTTAGTATTCCTCGTCAATTAAGTTTCCTTTCCAAACACAGGTGTGTTTCCCTTTAGGTATACCCAATACTTAAGTATCTAGATTTATACCAAAGACACATTTGAGAGTAGGTGCTCCATTTACTGAAAGAGTCCATTATGCAGCAAACTTCCCTGATGCATTTGATTGAACCAACTGATTTTTTTACTGAATTTAAAAAATTTGCTAGAGGGCATGTGCATTTGCAAGAGAGAGCAAGATTGCTAGAGGGCATGTGCATTTGCAAGAGAGAACAGGAGAGAGAAGGAGAGGGAGGAAGAGAGAAAGTGAAAAGCACC